TGATGGTAAAAAGTACAGGCTCCAGAACAGTGCCTTGTGGCACACCTCGATTGACAGGCAAGAATGGGGTCATGACTTTGTCTACACATACCCTTTGCTGACGATCTTTTAAAAAGTCAATAACCCAATTAACAATATAAGGGTTAATGTCGGACACTTTCTTAAGTTTATCAGTTACTACTCTATGGGAAATTGAGTCAAAGGCTTTCGAGAAGTCAAAAGACAGAACTCTAACAAAGTTAGAATGGCCATCAAGCCATCTCATCCAAAAGTGCTGATTATATAATAGCGCAGTCTCAGTTCCACAATCCTTCTTATAGGCAAACTGATCTGAATGAATAAAGCAGGAAACCGGTTTCCTCAATTCGAAATCTAGGATTAAAAAGTCTCACTGTAATGTCAGTGACTGATATCGGTCTAAGCTGATCTAAAGCAGAAACATTGGTCTCCTTAGGAATAAGTCGCACATTTACAGTCTTCCAAATCTTAGGGACTTGCTGGGAGACTAAGGAAACATTCAAAATGTGTTATCACAGGTGTTAGTCCCAGGGCATACTCCTTCCAAAACCAAAAAGGCAGATCATCTGGGCCACTGGCAGTCCTTTTCACATGCTCTAATGCCTTGAAGACCGATATTTCATGAATCACAGGCACTCTTTGAAGCTCTGGCATAATCTCCAACAGGGCAGGTTCAACATAATTTATGTCTATTTTGATGGACTGAAAGTGAGTGTTAATATCGTTCACATTAAATAAAGATGAGAGATTCATACTTGATCCAACACGCCCAGTTAATTTATCAATCACCTCCCACCAAGATTTGCTGCCCATGTCATGTTTTGCTTGTTAACCTTAGTCAGATTCAACTGATTCTCTTTAATAAGCTGGGTAATTCTCGGTTGCAAGAAACCAGCCTCCTGTACCATCCCTTTCCTCAGAAGCTTATTCCTTTTAGACAGAAGATTTTTTAACAAAGGCGACATAAAGAAAGGATCTTTCGATGACATTTTTACCCGTATAGAGGGAAAGCTGTTCTTGAACTCTTCATGGACGATACAATAAAACTTGTCAATAGCGATGATCAGTAGCCTGCAGTTTCTGTAACATTACGGTCTGACGATGGTTTCGGGCGTCAATAAATTCAACGGCAGATCTCACTGGACGATTTCGTACCCCGGGGAAAATGAATACACTGGAGTGATCAGATTTAGTCACACTCTTCGAAGTACACACTTTGCCAAAAATATTCGGTCTATTTGTCAGAAATACATCCAAAATACTGTCATTCCTTGTCGAAGTCTTGACAAGTTGCGAAAGGCCATTTTGTTGGGTAAGAGATTTCAGATCAAGTTTATTAATGTCACCAGCAATAATTAACCTCGCATTCGGTGGGGTGGCGAGAATGCTTTCGCAGGAATTTACTAAGAATTCAATAAAAGCAGTTTCATAATAATCAAAGGTCGGTGGATGGTAAACCGAGGCAGCAAATAATCTTTATTGGTCGTAGTACACAAAGACAGGCCTCAAGCCTTATGACGCCAAATTTACTGTGATTAAAGATACACTTGCCCCTGACTTCCCTGGGCACTTCGTCGAGTCCTTTGTAGGTCAATTATCTACACCAATTTTTAAGCAAAAATCTCGGCGAGAAGACCGCTACCCTACTCGAACTGCTACGGAGAGACACGCGTTGGAGCTGTGAAGCACTTCATCAAAAAAGCATTTGATCTCCTAAAATTGGACATCTCTCAACCTCCACTCCTTAAGTTCTTTGATCCTGTAAAGCCATTACACTGTCAATGGAAGCTTCAAAGAATGGTTTTTGGTGTTGCATGCCTTTAGGATGGGTACCCTGTGGCATGTTCCAGAAGAGCCCTAACAGAAGCTGAAACTCGATATGCACGGATCGACAAGGATATGCATGCAAGAGAATTCATGGTTTCATCTATGGTAGGGAAGCAATCATTGAAACTGATCACAAACCTCTTTCTGCAATCGTAAACAAGCCTCTTCGCCTGTGCCGATCTTCGACGAATGCTGTTCTAGCTACAGAGCTCCGATTTGCCAAAGTGGAAAATACCATAATTTTCTTTAAGCTATCGTCTGGGTGGTGTAAACCTGATTTTTGCGTTAAAGTAAAACCTTTTTTCCCCTTGAGTTATGAGCTGATCGTGGATGATGGTATCATTCTGAAAGGCCTGATAGTTGTGGTACGCGATCCTTACGCAAGGAGAATGTCCAGCAACTACGCAAGGGACATCCTGGAGCAGATGCTGCAATGGAAAGAACTCGGGATGTTGTGTATTGGCCCTCTATGACATCGGACATTGACTCTGCGATAGCCTCTGTCAGTCGTGCAATAGTGCCAAACCACACAAGCAAAGAGAACCACTTGTTATTAATCCGGTCACAGATCTCCCGTGGTTATTTGTGAGTGCATGCATATTGGACTGAAATGGATTGCAGTACCTGATTTTATCGAATCTTACTATAGTTGGTTTGAGATTGATATCCTTCGTGGTTCGTCCACCAAAATTGTAATTGCGAAGATGAAGCGTGCAAGTGCTTAATGACAATGGTCCACAATCTTTAAGCAGGGAATTTAAACGTTTTTCTAATGAATGGCTCTTTGAGCACTTAGCAAGCAGTCTGTATCATCCAATAGCCTGGCCGAGAATACGGCCAAACCTGCTTTGCAAGGGTACGAAAAACGGTTCTGGTCCCTCAATTGGCCTCCTTAATCTACGCAATGTTCCTAAAGATCAAACACTAGGTTCCCCTGCCCGGCGACTCATGTCCAGTCGTTCCAGTTTCACTATTCCTGTGGCAAATCATCTCCTCACTCCTAAGGCAGCCAGTACTTTAAATGCCTCTTCAGCTTATGATAATCAGCATGTCCAGCATCTTGCTCTCTTTATTCACAACAGCTTGTGAGACTTCAAACTAAGAAAGGTTATGAGAAAAGTGGCGTTGTTAAGAAACCAGCTGCAGAGCAAGGATCCTACGTCGTGCAAACTGGAGTAAAGGAGTACCGCAGAAACCGGAAACATATTTTATATGTTCCAGAACCTGCTCCAGCTCAGTCTCCTGCTGCTGCTTCTTCACCGACTCTCTTAGCTACAACTCTTCAACAGCCTCCAACCCTGTCAAATGCTCCTCACCAGGGTCCTACCATGTCAAATGAGGATATATTCCCTGAGTTTGCAATTTCCGCCAAGACACCATCAGAGCCTGGAGTCTATCAGACGTCACCGACAAGGAAGTTTATCAGACCCAAAGCTTCACTACAGTCTTCTCGTGAAAGAGGTACGCCGGAGGTCTCTGGTTCAAATGGTCTTGCATACTCTAATGCCAAAAGATCGCAAGTTGTCACAAGATCTGAAAGAATCTCACGACCTTATCCGAAATCCAAGGTGTTTGTGACTTAATTTTGCAAATAAAGGACATATTTAGCATAGTCTATTAGGACTTCCAATATAGCAACCGGACATCGTGAAACATACATAATTTTTTAGTTCTCACGGAGGTTATTTGCTAAACAGCACAATGTAAGTTCCCGGAATCGGATTTTCAGTAGCAGATCTAGATCGCCCAAAATTCGCATTTTATCGATTTCAAAGTTTTTTTTTATTGTTGTCATAGTGATATCGATTTTAATAAAAACTGCATTTTGGCAAACTTCAATTCATAGTCAATCACTGGAGAAAAGTTTGTAGTAATCGGACAAGAACAAAATTACTTTAAAGGCGATTGAAAAACATCGGTATGGTCTCCGAAAAACTGTACCAAAAACCTTAAAGGGAACCTAGAGAAAGCCAATGCATACAAGGATGCCATCAACCAATATGTAGAAAAGAGGTATGCTGTAGAGGTAAAGGAGGCAGTTGATGGTGACGAGAAAGTCAGGTATTTATCTTTTCACGCAGTCTTCAGAGTGGACAAGAAAACTACAAAGTGTCGTGTTGATGCGTCAGCTTATGATGAACATGAGGTAACACTCAGTGACTGTATCCTTTCAGGGCCAGCACTTCAACCTAATCTTGTATCTGTTGTTGAGAAGATGTTCCTCCAGATCAAAGTTGACGAAAGAGACCAGGACGCTCTACGATATCTATAGAGGGATATATTTTAGGAAATTTAAAGATAGAGTCAAAATACTACACAATCAAGCAATCTGGCACGTGCTTTCAAAAATTTAACACAAGAGGCTTCTCAATATTCAATTGTAATATTCGGAGCTTAGGAAAGAATTTATGTCTGCTTAATGATATTTTGATAACCGTGAAGGAAATGCCTAGCTTATAACTATTTCTGAAACTAAGCTAAACGACAATAATCAGTATCTTCACAATATTAATATACCTGGTTACAATTTTGTTGGTGTGAATTCTAGGACGAATGCTGGGAGAGTTGGTATTTACATAAAACAAAACCTGAATTTTTTTCGCAGGCGGGACCTAGAGTTTTCTTCTGACGCTTTTGAAACGTGCTTTGTTGAACTACCGAGAGAAAGGCAAAAGAGTATTATTATTAGTTCCATCTATAGACATCCTCACGGCACCGCCGAAAATTTCTGCGAACTTCTTAGGCAGAAATTAAATCATTTGAACAACTGCGGTTATGAAGTGTACATAGCCGGCGATATTGACATTGATTTTTACAAATATCACAGTGATAAGTTTACTTCTGAATATCTTGATATGTTATTCGATTTGGGCTAGATGCCTCTTATCACAAAAGCAACCCGGATAACCGATCACAGTGCTACTCTCATTGACCACATCTACTCAAATTCACCACAAAAAGTTTTAAAGTCTGGAATCTGCTTGGCAGATCTGTCAGATCATTTGCCATGCTTTTGTTCAATAGCCACCAAACGTCCAGATTACGCAGGTGACAGGTATTATAGGAACTATTCAAGATTTAATGAAGCCAGATACCTAGCTGACATAGCCACGGTAGATTTCTGTAGTTTAGTTACTAATGATGTGAATGACAGTATGGCAAAAATTATTTCTACATTAGAAGGAATGACTAACAAACATGCACCCATTGAAAGAGCATCACGATCTAAACGAAAACTATTAAGAAAACCTTGGATTTCTAAAGGAATATTTCAATCGGTTAAAGAAAAGCAGCGTTTGTTTAAAACTCATTTTTTTTCTGGCGACCCCCTTAAAATTATATATTATAAAGCTTACAATAATAAACTTACTAAAATCAAGGACTTAGCCAAGCAGAAATACTTTAAGGAACAGTTTGAAATTAACAAAGACAATATGAAAACAACATGGAAAATGTTTGACTTATTAATAAATAGAAAGAGAAAAAAATCCCCTACAATAAGTAAGATAGTCTATAACAACAAATGTTATACATCTAAATTGAGCATATGTAATCAGCTCAATACATATTTTGTTAATGTAGGCCCAACTTTATCAGCGCAACTACCAAATCATATTAACTCTAATCCTACAAGATATGTTACCAGAAATTTTCCAAACAGTTTTATGTTTAGGTATATTCACTCGCATGAAGTGCGTGACTTAATTACGAACCTAACAACTGATAAGTCATGTATAGGAGTCCCTGAAAAGTGCTTTAAGGTGGCCAGAGATCACACCTATGAGGCAATGACTAAAGTCTATAATCTTTCCATAGAGCAAGGTATTGTGACTGACATTCTCAAAATTTCCAAAGTAACTCCAGTGGACAAAGGTGGTGATATCACTGACCCGACTAACTTTCGCCCTATCTCAGTACTTTCTATATTTGCACAGATTTTTGAAAAACTGGTATGTAAACAGTTAACAAGCTATGTTGAAAAGTATGCCATTTTAAGTCAATACCAGTTCGGCTTCAGGAAGGGCAGATCGACTGAACAAGCCATTCTAGAAATCACTGACAATTTGAAACAAGCAATAGATAATAACTTACTCACATGCGGAGTCTTTCTCGACTTCGCTAAGGCCTTTGATACTGTCAACCATGCTATACTGTTAAATAAATTAGAGAAATACGGTGTTCGGGGAATCCCATTGAGTTGGTTCACTAGTTATCTTACCAATAGACAGCAATATGTTAGCATTGACGGTGTGGAATCTTCTAAACAAACTATTAAATGTGGTATCCCGCAAGGCAGTTCTCTTGGTCCCCTCCTTTTTCTACTATACATTAATGATATCCCTAACTGCTCCAATAAATTGTCCTTTAGAATATTTGCAGATGATACCAATATTTTTCTGTCTTCCTCAAATGCCGTGGAATTACAAAACTTAATTAACCATGAATTATCCAAAGTTAAAGAATGGTATGACTTAAACAAGCTATCCATCAACTTAGAGAAAACTAATTATATGATAATTAAATCACCTGAAAAGAAGACAAATATAACATGGGATGTAAAATTAACTAACAATGATGGCTCCACCTACGGCTTAGAAAAGAGAACTTACATAAAATATTTGGGCGTATTTATAGATGACACGCTATCATGGAAACATCAGGTGTCTTATTTATGTACTCGAATTTCTAGAAACACAGGAATTATTGGCAAACTCAGACACTGCACCTCCCTTTTACAACTTAAACAACTATACTATAACCTGATATATCCCTATATATCTTATGTGATAACCTCCTGGGGCAGTGCATTTACTACTCAAATTAAAAAAATCCAAACAAAACAAAATCATGTTATCCGCGTTATGTTCTTTGCCACCTTGTTTGGACCAGATACAGACAGTGCATTACCATTACTTAATTTATTGGATTTACTTACTGTTACAAATATCTATAAACTACAGCTTCTTAACTTCACTCATCAGTGGCATTCTAAAAAATTACCAAATATCTTTAATCAGCATTTTCGCTATGCAAGTGAAGTCCATACATATAATACGAGATATGCTTCAAAAAGTAACTTCTACAAACCACGTTCCAGGACCAATATAGGAAAGCAAACAACAGCGGCTATGGCGACCGAATTGTGGCAACAGCTCCCTACCCATATAAAAGACCTTTCAACTTATAACTTTCCTAAAACATTAAAAGAATACTTGTTGGCCGAACAATTAACTCACTGAAATTATTTTTATTTAAATCATATCGTCATGTACTATGATGACTGTTTTTCTCTTCTTTTTTTTGCCATCTAAGTGGTTTATGTATGTCTTAAGATGTTTTGTATGTTTAGTTATTGTGATGTCCTGTACATTCGACACTACTTTCAAAGAACTAGTTGCTAGCTCGAAAACCTTACGGTTATCTCGCCGCTAGGCATTTCCTCCTATGTAATAATATTTAGTTTAAATTGTAATTGAATACTCTACGTGTTAAGTTACTAATTATTCAATAAGTTTGACAAACCCTGTAATGGAAATGAGAATAAAGTGTTGTTGTTGTTGTTGTTGTTGTTGTAAAGAGTGACGATCCACCGAGAATCTACAGGTAACAGATATTAGCATTTGGTGTTAATTGAAGTCCATTCCTCGGAATTGCCACAGAACAAAGTCACGCGATGAAATGCAGAGAAGAGTTTCCTAATGCATCAAGAGAAGTCCTGTCAAACATGTACGTGGACGATTGCATTACTGGTACTGATGACGTTGGAGTTACGGTGGAGTTGCAGCAGTCCTTACTCAAGATGATGGAACTAGTTCAGGTTGCTAAGAGTTGTCAGTCGAGGAGTTAAACGACGCCAATTTATACTGCTACGGAGAGCTGCAACGGCAGATGTTACTCATGTTCAAGAAGTATTGAGGGAAATAAAAGTCAAGAAATCACCTGGCGTTGACGGCATTACACCTAAACTACTTAAAGGGACAGTGTCCCGATTATGCGCACGCGCGAGCGTCATCTGTTTTTTCTTCAAAAGACAATAGAACTGTCAAATTGACTCGACAAGATTTCCTTCCGGACCGCACCGCCGACAGAGATTTGTTGTTTATATTCTCAAGTAATATTTTAGACTTTCGAAGAAGTCTTTCGTCTTATATAAAAATTTGGCTCGCGGTTCGAAGACTCATCGCGATTTTATCGCTAGCTGGGCCGCCTCGCGACCCGAAAATCTCGTTCCGCTCTCTTTAAAAGCATATTTTCTAATTTGAAACTCGTGTCAGAGGTCAATCGTTCCAAGTCCAGTGATATCTGATTTGCTCGCGTTCTAGCCTCGAACGTTTGAAAGACATAAATAAAAATGCAATCTCAACGCTATGAATCATCACAAAGGTTAGTCAAAAATGATATTATGATTTCATGTCACTAGTTTTTCAAATCATGTAGCGCCTGTTTGTTCGATTTTGTCGGCCATAGGGAAATTCATTTAAAAGTTTACTAACGAGTCGTTGCAAAACATTCTGCTTCACCAAGCTCCCCTCCACAAGATCTCCTCAGTCACATCAATGTCTCAACAGATTCTTTCTTACAGTCTTTATTGTTGCTCTTTCATTTCTGCGTATTCCTTTCACAATTATCTGAGCTTGTATGGAAGCTAGCAGAAGAAATAAGCCTTCAATCGGCATCAAAGTGCTTTCAATCTGTTGGTCCTCCGGCCAACGGCAATAAAGGTAACGCCAAAAAATCCAGATTTTGCCCAAATCGAAACTTAACAGGAACAATATGTCATTGATCTATAATCCTGAGAAGTTTTAGTGTCGTATTGAACCCGGCCAAGCGCGATGCAAACGGATTTTTCAAGATTCTCTTACTCCCCTCGCATCTTTTGATTTCGCGACATCCTGTCCAAAAATCAAAGTTTGGTGCATGCGCAGTAACGGGATACTGTTCCTTTAAGGTCTCAGCCGAGATTATTGCTGCTCCACCCTCCGTCATATGCAACAACGCTATTTCTCATTGTAAATATCATTCAGAATGGAAGAAGATAACCCCTGTGACTAAGAGCTCTGATGTTGAAATGAAAAAAGCATTATTTAGACAAGTGACTGTGCTTCCAGCCCTCAATAATGTCTTTGAGAGGATTCTTGCGTCACAGCTGACGTCGTACTTTCAGAAAATCTTTTGTGATTTCTTGTCAGCTTATAGAAGACATCATGGCTGTCAAACTATACTGTTTATTGTGGAGGAGTGGAAGAAAAGTCGTGTTAAAGAGGAGCTCGTTGCTAGTGACAATGGATTTTTTTTCCCTCATTAACTTCTTATCAAGAAGCTGCAAGCATACGGCCTTGATAATTTGAGCTGCTCTTTTCTTCTGGACTATCTTCAGAATAGGTTACAGCAGGTTACGGTCGAAGACACTGTGTCGTCATTGGAGTTCACAAGTAGAGAGGTACCACGAGGCTGCGTTTTATATAATGTATTTCTCAATGACCTGGCCTAATTTATAACTGGAGCTCATCCTAACGCATATCCTGATGATCAGCAACGGTACTATTCTGATACTAATCATTTGGCTCTGCGAACCCAACTCAATAATAAACTCTCTATAGCAGTGGACTGGTTCAAGCACAACGGTTTAATTGCCAATCCTAACAAATTTCAGTTAATGGTACTGGGAGATGATCATGAGTTTTCACTTGCTGTTGATGGGATAGAGATCACCCGATGGGATGATATTGATTTACTGGGTGTTAACAACTCTAAGTTTACGCTATGCTAAGACGAATCAAGCGCTGTAAACGTGTGCTATATCTCGTTCTTCACAGGACGAAAAAAACAAGAATCTGTAAACTAAAAACACTGTAGAATACTAGACTCCGTTGCGAGAAAATCGCAAATGTGTTTTAAATTAAGGAAAGTTAAGACAACCTCTGCACAGCTTCGTCAGTAAACATTTCTGGAAAGAACTTTGATTTTGCAATGCTAATAAAGTTCTACCCATAAATCCAGTAGGTGCCACCGTTCGCTGTTTATACTTTTCAAGCGACAACGTTTTTTTGCTCGACTTGCTCACTCTTAATTGTCTCAAGCGTGTCCTCTGAAACAAAAGAAATTACTAATGAGGCAAGATTGCAAGCGTCCTAAAGCGTGTTAAAATAAATTCTTTTGTTTTAAAGTGAAAGCGTGTCGTGCGCGTGCTTTCACCTTTAGCATTAAAATCCTGTGGAGGGTCACATTTGATAAACACGTTACAAATTTGTGCAGTAAAGTAAATTTGCAACTTCAAGTTATAAAAAGATTTAGAAAGTTGATAACAGGACAAATTAGGTTAAAGCTCTATAATGCATTTATACAAACCCTTTTTTGTTATTGTAGCGATGTGTGGCATTTTTTTATTGCAGTTAAATACGCAGATACTTAGAGTAGTTTTAAACGATTCATCCAGCAGTTATGAGGATCTACTTACCAAACTTGATATGACCACCCCAGAGACAGGACGGGTGCGAAGCATTATGTTGACATTGTACAAATGTTTACAGGGAATGGCCCCGCCTTACCTTCGAGCTTACATTCAAGAGCGGCGTGTATCAGATTATAATTTGAGAGGCTAAGACAAGCTGGAAATACCGCATGTTAAGATTTCCACCTCTGGTTTGCGATCATTTAAATACTTTGCTGCCCATGCCTGGAGTAACCTGGCCGATAATATCAGAATGTCCGAAACGGTTGCCACTTTTAAACGCAATATCATAGATTATGTTTATTAAGAGTTTTTGTTGTTTTTTCCTTTCCCTCGAGAATGTCGAATTGTAGATCTTAATGATATTTTGTTATGTAAATTATTGTATCAGTGTATCAGTGTAGCTAAAATACAAGTTAAGCCGTTATGTCCTTTATTGGCTTTGGATCTTTTCAGTTTTCATATTATGTAGATCGGAGATACTAACACTATGTGCTACTCTACAATCACAAATAAAATAAAGTTATGTACGTATGTATGTTTGTATGTATGTATGTATGTAGGTGTACCAAGCACAGTGTGAAAGGTGTTTTTTTATTATTATTTAATTTATTATTTGAGCTAAATATACGTCACACAAAACGTAACTGTGGTAAACGTATACATATTACAACTTCACGAAACAAACATAAAAATAGCTGAGGTTACATTTATGCTTGAATTCGCTTAGCTACTTACAATAAAAGGAAAGGACGGTGGATGGCTCAACTTTGCAGGACACATGGCTAAGTCAAAGCGATTAGCTAGAGGGTAACCAGTGCAAGCAACAAATTTAAATAAGAAAAAATTCCCATTTGTTTGAAAAGACGGTGAAAGAATTACAGCGAGTGCTTCTTGTTTTTCCATCTCAATGACGGAATTTAGTTTACCCTTAAAAAGAGTCATGGAGGGAGACGTACCTGCAAGTTTGCTCGAGTATATATGATATCTCCCAATAAGAAGAACGAGATCAATGGCGGTGGAGGGTGCAAATTTAGAGAGTCCCGTCAGATGCAAATCGGTTAGTGCAGTACTTTGAGGCCTTTTTGAATTAAAAATTGTTTAACATCGTTCCAAAAAGCAATTGTTGCCGAACATCTCAGAAATAGATGAGATATAGACTCTATTTCCCTTTGGCAAAAAGAGCATTTGTCCGATTGCTTTAAATTAATTTTCTTTAAAAAATCATTGGTAGCAATCCTCCGATGCAAAAACTTATAATGAAAAGTTCTTAATTTTGTAGAAGCCGTACAGTGGAAAGCGATTGTGTATGCATCTTTCCAATCAATATCACTTGCATTTTCGACTTGAAGGTCACTGAGCCACTTCTCTTGGCTTCTAATGGGTGTAGAGATTCTTTTTCTCAGTAGCGACTTATAAATAAAGTTGTTAACTTTACTTTTAGATGTTAATTCAGTTATAGATGTTCCCTCGGTGGAAACAACCTCGTACGTCGGTTCATTTTGCACCTTATTTATAAGTGATTTGACAGCTGAAGCTATACTACAATATTCTAACCAATTTAACTCCTGAAAATTTGATTTCATGGCATCATATCCGAGGAGGTTCCCACCCTCATCTAATAGATGAGAAATTTTGCAGACACCATGATCCATCCAGTGTTTACGGAATACAGGCTGATTGTCAATTCTTACCAAAGAATTAAGCCAAATAATCTGATCGCCCACATTTGCAATGGAGATGGCTACAGCATCAGAGAAATGCAATTCCGCCCAGATTGACATGACC